TTTTCTTAAGAAATACTTGATAACTATCCAGACATTATAAAGATTTTGCATGTGAAATTTTGAAATTTTGTGATGCATAAAAGTATTTTTAATGTTAAGATGAAAATTACTTTGCATGATAAATAAGCAAGATGTGAAAAGAAAAAAAAAAGACATGACAGAAACATTGCTTTACAAACTTTAAGACTTAATAAAAAAATTAAATATTTTGCACATGAAAGCATTGTAATGTTTACTGATAAACTGCCAACTTTTGTTAACAATCGCTTAATAATTTAAAAGTTAGAGCATGAAAACTATAACAAGCCCACAATGGTTATGAGGTTGGTCCCAGGGACTGACTCCGGGTTGAAATAGTTAAGGCATTCATAAAATTTGCAAATATAGAGATATAGTTGAGATATAGTTTTAAAAAACATACACAAGTAACATAATCTGACAGTAACCAATGAGATAAGAACAAAATTTGGATTAAAACTTACCCTAATTTACACTGAGGGGTAACAAGGACTATAAGGCCAGTGATGCACTCAATCACAATATATTATTCACTCAGAGCAGCAACTTAAATTAATATTGGTTGCAACCGAAATGAAACCAATATCTATTTAGGCCTAAATTAAATTTTTCAAGTTAGCTTATAAATATTTAAAAAAATGCAAAACTTTATAATTTATAGTAAAAGTGAAAAGAAGTGAAGTGGTACATTAGTAAATTGAAGTTTACCACATTCACAGGTCAATAATTAAACACAACAACACACCCTTATAACTGCTACTATCACACAACAAAAAGTCAAAATAGCCTGCAGTCTTAATCATATATAAAGTAAGAAACTTCCAAACAGTTACAAATAATTTAATTAATTAATTAGGTGACTAAACAATAAAGACAAAGCCAATCATGACTGCAAGATGGAGAGAGAAGTATCCTTTCGAGAACACTGTGTATCTCTTACCTGAACAGTCTTGAGAGCCAAAGAGTCGTATCAGACAAAATTCTTGTCACTACTTTTCTTAGAGTTCGTGTATCTAATGTTGAGATATAAGCTGCAAGCGTGTGGGACATCACAGCCATTTTCCCAATTTCATCAAGCTGCCTTAGGTGAACACTAAAAAACATACTGTCTTTTGAGGAACAGGTTACGAGCCTTCAAAACAATCTATATCACATAAAATGTTAATTAAAACAAAAGTTATTGTTAATATTCCTTATTAAATTTGATGATTTATGTTATTTGCAACCAATATGTTTCTGTAGCACATATTTAAAAATACTCTAAATTTACAAAAATAACTGTCTTTCAATTCTTCATTCAAATTACAACTTTTAAGGCACACAACACAGTAATTACATTGGTTTTTTTTCAAAGTGTAAAACTAGAAACAGTTGACCCACATTCATAAGTGAAGAAACAAACATTAGTCTACTGATATAAAATGAGGTTTCTTCAATATTTACAACATTGCAGATGTTGTGTATCTACCGTATTTTTCGAATATAAGACGCACCCTTATTTTGAAGACAAAGTTTTGGGGAAAAAAAAGCTACAGTCGCATTTGAAAGATTTTTATTGAACATTCAATTGAACTGAACTATGCATGCCTATTTAAATA